TCGTGAATGGCCACGTATCGAGCCCGTTTGCAACTGCTGAAAGACTTCACACGCTTACCCCTGTGAGGATTCGAGGGTTCCAATTCGAACCTCGCTCAAAACAGCCTTGGCCAAGTGAGCTTGCCCTGGCGGCGCGCATCCAAGACCTTGCGGTGCGCATGCTGCTGAAAACGAGTTTCTGCAAATTACTTTGCACACTCGGTTGGGGGATCGGGGGGGTGAACCGACCTCCTCATCATGGCAACCGTACTGTGCAATGCAATATTTGGTCGCCCTGGTAGGTGTATCAAGCAATTATGTGGTGTCCTTGACTTCGCCGTTCTATGAACACGAGATGCTTCAATTTGGGATTCCGCCCGAGTTAGAAATTCACCTTCCGTCTCTCCTTCCTTACCTTCACCTCCCTTGCATCCTCCATGTTCCTGACATCCCCCCCGTCCACAGAGCTTCCCCCCAAATCGTGTGCGCTCCTGTTTGTGTGATTCCCTGGTCTCCCTCCCTCCCCAAGGGCCTCGAAGCTCGAGCCTCTGAAGGCGAACAACTGCAGGCACCTTTTGCAGAGCATACCTTCGGTGAGCACATATTCTTGCCGTCGAAGTGCCTGCCTTCAGAAAACCGTGCCTTCAACAACTGTTGCCTGCAGTGAGACCATTACGCCGACTGATTCGCCTCCCATGACAGATGTGCAGCCCCACCTGCGCCATACGCGCCGCGCCGCGGAGTGCCCCCCCGCGCCTCGCCGTTGCCGTCAGCGTCGAAGGCGTTCATGAGGGCCTCGACCTCGGCCAGCTGCAGGGTCCCGGCCATCTTCGTGAGGCCGGCGTGCATCTCCTGCGGGAAGGCGCCGCCTGCCTCTGTGAGGTGGCTATGACGTCTATGTGTGAGTCAATGTGCAGACGCACGGGCGATCTCGGAAACCCTTTGAGCCCAAATTTGTTTTCATCTCTTCGGGGCACGTCTTTTGCTTCCGCCGCCTTCCGCCGAGCTTCCGCTGGCGGAGGCGGCCTCGTTTTACTTCCGCCGGCCTTCCGCCGCGGAAGAGATGGCAACTCCTTCGATCCTCGAAGGCAAGGCCCTTTTTGGAACGCGACATGTGTATGTCTGTGTCGCCTTCGCCCGAGTCGGTGGCCCTGGCGAAGGGGTGGCGGCGGCTATGGCAGTGCCGAAACGCGCCCAGAGGCCAGCAGGGCATGATCGTGCAGACCCGATTTGTCTTGCTGCTGCTCTGGGGGGGAGCCTGTGTTCAGGGGAGGCGGCAGCACAGCTCAACGAGCTGGGTCGTCTCCCTTTACGGGGTCGCCCCGACCTTCTCCCTCGGCCATCGTTGGCCGTGCTGGAGTTCCGCGCTATGTAGGTGTGTATGTCTGTCTGTGTGTGTGCGCCTTCGACCGGAAGAGGTGCGCTCTCGACCCGCGGATCAAAAAAGTGTATGTCTGTCTGTCTCCGTCTTTCTGTCGGTCAGTCAGTCAGTCAGTCAGTCAGTCTGTCTGTCTGTCTGTCAGTGTACCTGTCTATCTGTCTGTCTATCTGTGTGTATGTGTGTCTGTCTGTCTGTCTGTCTGTCTGTCTGTCTGTCTGTCTGTCTGTCTGTCTGTTTGTCGGTCTGTCTATCTGTCTGTCTATGTGCCTGTCTGTATGTATGTCTGTCTCTATGACTGTATGTCTTTTTTTATGTCTCTCTGCCGATATGTCTGTCTGTAAGTATACCTGTATATATATACATGTATGGATATTCGTATGTGTGTAAGTATGTATATATATGTGTGTATATGTATATGTCTAGGTATATAGATATGTATATATGTCTGTACGTCGGCAGGTATATATGAATGTAGGTACGTTTTTTTGTTTTCTTGTTATATATATATATATTATTGATTGTTTGGCATGTATGTATATGTACATGCGTTTTTGCACCACAGATTTGTATGATTACGGACGCACTGAACCCAAAGACGTGTTCATCCTTTGAGGGCGCATCTTTTACATGTTCCGCCTTCCGCCGAGCTTCCGCGGGCTTCCGCCAGCGGAAAGGGCCTCTTCCGCCAACCTTCCGCGGCGGAAGAGATGGCAACTCCTTCGATCCTCGACGCTGAAGCCCTTTTTGGAACGTATCATACATGTATATCTGCGTCAGCCATTAATGGCAGTGGAGCGGCGTGAACCTGGGCTGGGTCGGAGTGCTCTGGACTGGACTGACTTTCCTGGGCCAGGCCAACTTGGGTTATCCTGCGTCATACCGAATCGGTCTGAAGTGGATCGGCTCGGACGGGAGGAGGCTCCACTAGCATGGGGCGGGCAAGGCTAGAGTGGGAGTTACTAGACTGAGCAGGGCTGGACAATGCTGGAATGGCACAGGAATGATTGGATCATGTTATTTCGATGCGAGCTGACCTTGGCTGGCCAAGATTTGCCTTCACCAGCTGGACGATTGGTGCGGGCTTTAACGGATTTGCCTGAATGATACAAAACCGTTTCCCCGGGAACCGTTTCCCCGGAGACCTCTTCCCCGGAGACCGCTTCTCCGGAGGACCGTTTCCCCTGAGGGCCGTTTCCCCAGAGACCTCTTCCCCGGAGACCACTTCCCCGGAGGACCGTTTCCCTGGAACCGTTTCCCCAGAACCGTTTCCCTGGAAGCGCTTCCCCGGATTCACTTCCCGGAGCCGTTTCCCCAGAACCGCTTCCCCAAATCCGCTTCCCCGCGCCCTCTACCGTTTCCTATGTGCACCCTTCTCCCCGGCGGAACCGTTTCCCCAGTGACCGCGTCCCCAGTACCACTTCTCGAGGGAGGATGAGGGAGGAATGAGGGAGGGATAAGAGATGAGGGAAGGAGGAATGAGGGAGGGAGGGAGGAAGGAAAGGGAAGGATGAGGGATGAGGGAGGCGGGAGGGAGGGACGAAGGAGGAGAGAGGGATGGATGGATGAGCGAGGGAGGTGAGGATTCGGGTGAAGGAGGGATAGATGAGGGATGGGGGAAGGAGGGATGAGGGAGGGAGGGCGGAAGGATGAGGGATGAGGCATGAAGAGAAGTAGGGGGTACGAGGGATGAGGGAAGACGGAGGGAGGAGGAGGAGGAGGAGGAGGAGGAGGAGGAGCAGGAGGAGGAGGAGGAGGAGGAGAAGGACGAGGAGGATGAGGAGGAGGAAGCATCAGCTGAAACGGCCCGGAAGAACCACCCAGTACTTGCGACAAGCCGTGCAAGTGCTACTGAGTGCACGGGATGTCTCGGGGAAGCGAGCCAAACCAAATCGGATCACCTCAAGTGCGGACCTGAGTCCAGAGTTGGAGCGAGCGAGCGAGCGAGCGACTGGTCGGTCGGGCGGGACCCTAACGGGCGGGTCGGGTCGGTCGAGCGGGACCCTCGCGGGCGGTTCAGGTCGGGCGGGCGGGACATACAAGTTGCGCATTCTCGAACTGGCACGCGAGTGCCCTAACGGGCGGGTCGGGTCGGGCGGGCGGGACACTAATGTATGATGCATCATCGAGTTGGCACGCGAGTGCCCTGACGGGCGGGTCGGGTCGGCGGGCGGGCGGACCCTGACGGGCGTGACAGGTCGGGCCGGGCGGGCGGACCCTAACGGGCGGGTCGGGTCGGGTCGGGCGGGCGGGACATTAAGATATCGTGCGCCATCGACTTGGCACGCGAATGCCCTAACGGTCGGGTCGGGTCCAGCGGGCGGGCGGGCGGACCCTAGCGGGTCGGGTCGGGTCGGGCCGGGCGGGCGGGATATTAAAGTATGATGCATCATCGAGTTGGCACGCGAATACCCTAATGGGTGGGACGGGTCCAGCGGGCGGGCGGACCCTAACGGGCGGGTCGGGTCGGATCGGGCGGGCGGACCCTTACGGGCGGGTCGGGTCGGGTCGAGCGGGCGGGACATTAAAGTATGATGCGCCATCGAGTTGGCACGCGAGTACCCTAACGACGGGTCGGGTTGGGCGGGCGGACCCTAACGGGCGGGCGGGTCGGGTCGGGCGGGCGGGACATTAGTAAAATATTGCGCATCATCAAGGTGGCACGCGAATACCCTGACGGGCGGGTCGGGTCGGGCGGGCGGGCGGGTGCCGGAGCATCCGGGCTCGAGTGCCTGGCCCGGAGCAGCGGGAGTATCCAAAGTGCCTGGATCCGTGGAGCGCCAGCGCCAGTAGACCAGTCCGGTCCTGTGGAACTGGTCCTGCGGAACCTGGCCTGTGGAACTGGTCCTGCGGAGCCCGGCCTGTGGAACCAATTCTGTGGAACCAGTCCTGCGGAACTGGTCATGTGGAACCGGTCCCGCGGAACCGGTTCTGCGGAACCGGTCCTGTTGAATCCGTCTTCGTTGAACCAAGCTTTGCTGAACTGGTCGTCTGTTGAACTGGTGTCTGTTGAACCGAACGTCTGTTGAAGAACCGGTCTCTGTAGAACTGGTCGTCCGTTGAATCGGTCTTCTGCCGCCTGGATCTGGCTAGAATTGGCTTTGTTGAATCGGCCTGGATAGCCTTGAACAAATTTGCGTGGTGTATCCTGTCCTGGGCTGGCTAAAAATAGTTTACTCTACTCATTCTCAATGGTTCACTTTACTCTCTCTCTCTCTCGATTTCTCTCCATCGTTTTGTCTCGCTCTTTCTCTATCTGTCTCTCTCTCTCTTTCTCTCTTTCCCTTTCCCTCTCACAATCCACCTTCGAACATAAGCACTTCGTCAAGAATCCGAGCTCCGCGTAGACTCACCCCATGGGAGCAGCTCCTCTTAAACCTCATTGGCGAGGGCCCAGCCCCAGGGCTAAGAACCAACGGGGGCCTACGATGGTCCCGCCCAGTCACCGGCCTTCTCAGCCTGCCGAGGGAAGACGACACCAGAGCAAGGGGCCCATCGAGCCTCGCTATGAGCCGTGATCCTGGGGCATGGCAAGTGCCTCGCAAGCTGGAGCGGCGTGCGGGCGGGGGGCTCCTCCGCATTCAGCACGCCGTCCCCGTTGAGGTCGAACTGCACGAAGAAGGAGTGCATCGAGCGCGTGGACCTGACGCGGGCAGCCCGTGCTGCCGCTTGTTCTGGCTTCTCACGTTACTGGTATCTTCCTTTCCAAGAACTGTGGATCGCATCTGACCAAATTGGTCGTTTGCTTCAGCGAGCTGCAATCCATCTACCTCCACCTGCCCCAATACCCCTCGCCCGTCCCATCACCTTCGCCCTTCTCCCCGTTCGGAGGCGGCGATGAGGGCGAATAGCCCGGGGGCGGGCAACACATGTATCCAAGGGCGCCGATGGTCCACGCGCCTTCGGCGAGATTCCCGGGGCGAATGCGTGTGATGCTCGCCTCTGGGCGATCCGCCTCTACCCTCGCCACGGGCCCATTCCCCCGACGAGAGGGGGCGGTTTCTGGCGTGGCCGCGCGTCGGTTCTGCCAGCCAGCGGCGCGCGCATGGCTGCCAGGAGTGGCGCGTGCGGCCGCGCCCGGTCGTGTACAGCACCTGCACGCGCTCGCTGAAGCCAGCCAGCGTTCAGTCATCGTGCTACCATAAGGAACGCCAAATGAGTAACGAGGGGGCGTGCATGGCGACGGCGAGCCTCCCTCGGCCACGAGTGCGCTCCACCACACAAATCCAAGGAACGGCCCGGAAACCCGAGCCCCTCCTGAGCCCATAGTGGTCCTCATGTCAGCGTCTTGACTGCAGGATTCGATGGGGAATAGGGCCGTTCGTATCCACATGTTGCCCGCATGCTCTTACCCCGCAATCCCATATCACAGCGCGGTTCTAAGATCATGAAGTGATCAATGCAGCCGCGCGCGCGGCCGTCCATCCCTGTGAGCCTATGGCGGTTCAAACTTCTGAACACATAGCCATGCTGTTTCCTGGAAGCAACTTCAATCCAATCCCACGTAACCTTGTACACCTGCTCATGCAGTCTCCTCGAGGTACCCTTGGCTTCCATGTGCTTTCCTTGGCCTCCTGTGGCCCTTGTGTGCCTCCCAGGGTGTCCTAGGTTTTCCGCAGATTCACTAACAATGCCGACGACTCCTTGGAATTCCTGGACGTCTGTCGTCTGCAAGCCTCATCGGGCTTGTCTGCACCTCCAGGACCAGACCCCTGGGGCTTCCACAATCACTAGTGGGCCTCATTCTCTCCTTGTCTCATCACGACACTGTGCAATCACGCACGTTTCAAGACGCGCGCTCAAAATCATACGTGCAAACATGTGCACAATGGGCATGTACTCACGAAGGAGTAGAAGAACAACAACGGCATAAACATCCGCCACGGTGCCGCTGGGAACTGAGTTGGCGTGTCCTCAACTCCTGGACCCCATCCTCTAGGGCGTTGGCCCCAACTTCCGAAACCTCCTGGGGCTCAGCATCTTGTCGCACGAGTTCCTCGGCCCCAAGAAGGCCCCAAGACGGTCCAAGAGGGCCCCCCAAGACGGCCCACTTAAGGACCCCAAGACGGCGCAAGAGGCGCCCACGAGGCCCCAAAGACGGCTCCGAGATGGGGGCCCGTATGGTGGACCCCAACGTACGTTTCGAGCCATCGACCCCGAGGGGCCCCCAGGAAGCCCCAAGAGGCTCCCGAGAAGCCACTAGAGGCCCTCCAAGAGGCCCCAAGAGGCCCAGAGAGAAAGGTGTAAATGCGGTAGGCGTACTTTGGCCTTGCCGCATGCCCCCTGGCCCTTGGCTGGGGCGCGCGTGGCCTGCCTGCTCGGAGGCCGCCGTGGCAGATGGATACTGCCGTCCGGCGCCTTCACGAGTTTTAAGTCAACCCGCCCACCCCCTCCAGAGGAAGGAGGCGCGTCGACCTGGCCCGAAGAAGCACCCAAGAGGCTGCCAAGAGGTCATACAACTGCTTCCAAGAGGCTCCCGAGAGCGCTCCGAAGAGACCCGAAGAAACATGCCTGATAACTCCTACCCGCAACCCAGGCACGGTGGCGGGACTGGCCGAGGGCCATTTAATAGATCCGCCGCCCCCTGTTGCCTGGCGTGCAAGATCCACCACCCCCTGTTGATTTATCACACGGGTGCCTCCCAGACGGCCGAAGATGGAGCCAAGAGAGCCCACGATGGCCCCCAGATCCACCCAAGACGGCCCAAGATGGCCTCAAGACGGCTCCAGAGCTTCAGCAGGGCCCGAAAAGGCCAAACTCATTGATTGCCCTTGGGTTTTTGATGGATTTTGCCCTTCGCTTCTTGTCGGCCTTCCGACGGCCCAAGACGGTCCACGAGGGCCCCAAGATCGCCCCAAGATGACCCTCCAAGGCCTCCAGGATGACCCCTATGACGGCCCAAGAGGCCCCCGAGACGGCCCTCAGAGGGCCCCAAGACGGCCCAAGAGGCCTCCAAGGCGCCCATGGTGGCCTCCAAGACGGCCCTGGAGCACCCCTAAGACTGCAGGGCCCCAAATCGGTCCAGCGAGGCCCCTAAGACGGCTTCCGACGGCGTGAAACGGGCCGGGAACGCTCTAAGACGGCCAACGAGGCCCCCAAGAAGCCATCCAAGGCCCCCAAGATATCCGAGGAGACTTCCAAGAGGCCTCCGAGAGGCACACAAGAAGCTTACAGAAAGCCACAAGAGTCCTCCTCCTCCTCCTCTGCCTCCTCCTCATCCTCCTCCTCCTCCTCTCCGCCTCCTCCTCCTCCTCCTCCTCCCCCTTCCGCCTCCTCTTCCTCCTCCTCCTCCTCCTCCTCCTCCTCCTCCTCCTCCTCCTCCTCATCCTCTTCTCAAATTGCCCTCCTCCTCCTCCGCTTCTTCGTTCTCCCCCGCGTGTTCCCCGGCGGGTTTCCACAACGGCTGGGGGAACACATGATCGGATAGCTTGGCAGAGCTCTGGCCACAACGTTCGGCCACATGGGCGATTCCAAAAGGCAGGGGGCCGAGAGGCCCACAAGAAGCTCACGTAAGGCCCCAAGAGTCCACCTCCTCCTCCTCCTCCTCGACCTCCTCCACCTTCTCCTCCTTCTCCTCCCCCTCCTCCTCCTCTTCCTCCTCCTCCTCCTCTTCCTCCTCCTCCTCCTCCCTCCTCATCCTCCTCTCGAATTGTCCTCTCTCTCCTCCGCTTCTTCTTCCTCCCCCGCGTGTTCCCCGAAGGGTTTCCACAACGGCTGGGGGAACACATGTTCGGATAGTTTGGCAGTGCTCTGGTCACAACGTTCGGCCACATGGGCGATTCCAAAAGGCAGGGGGCCGAGAGGCCCACAAGAAGCTCACAAAAAGGCCCCAAGAGTCCACCTCCTCCTCCTCCTCCTCGACCTACTCCTCCTCCGCCTCCTCTTCCTCCTCCTCCTCCTCCTCCTCCCCCTCCTCCTCCTCCTCCTCCTCCTCCTCCATGTTGCCATGTTGCCAGCGATTAAGGGGAGCCCTCGCATTCCGAGGGCCCGCTGGCAACTTAACACGCGATGCGCTGTGGCGGGATTCCCACAGTTCTCGCGCTCTCCCCTTGAGAGCGAGCGACGAATAGGCCTGGGCTGCTTGGGTCGAGGAGGAGGGGGAACCTTGAAATCACCCTGGAACTTAACCTGGATGGTTGAGAGTCTTCTAGACACGAGTTGCAGCTCAGCATCTTCAGCGTCGATGCGGTCAAGCACTATCTGGGGAAGCTGAATGTGGGAGGTGGCATCTTCGGCTACCTCGTCAGCTACAGAATTGGCAGACAAGGCCCATGGCTGTATAGTATATGTGTCCCAGTCGTCATACTTAGGATGGAACTTGGTTTTGTGAAACTCAATGGGCCCGTCGTGGGCCTCGAAGGCGGCCCAAACATCATACCATACATCGGGATTGGATCGCGGCTGCTACCTAGCCCCCCCCAGAGCTCCCCGATGTACATAGCTAGAATCCAATACCAACGTAATATCTCCCTGCACATGTAGAAGGGCCTGGGTGGCGGCGTAGAGCTCACCGCGGTTGACGGTCTGCTTTCCTGGCAGGCTTCCTCGAAGAGTGCCCACAGGTTCGTAACCTGTGTCCAAAACAGCAACCCCCAAGCCCACGCGCCGTTTCCGACGATCTCTGTTGCGTTGGCCCCCGCTAGCGTCGGACCCGATGAGGTATTTTCCTTTAACCTGCATGTCCTGGAGAACAAACGTGCCTGTGGCGCGGTGGACTGACGGGGGTGGGCTATCTTCCGCAAGTCCTATGGTGAACCCGGCTGGCTGGAGCGCGCGGCCCCACTTGATGGGGTACGACTGGAACTGCTCCACTGCTCTTGAAACGAAATGATTTGAATCGACGATGACGTCGTCGGTGCACTGCTCGAGTGCGGAGCACGTCCAGAAACGGTGGAGATCGTCCTCCTCTGGTGCTCCGCACCTTGGACACCTGGCTGGGATGTCGGGCTTGCACGAGTGTAGTCGGCCGCATGTCCAAACTGAGCCTTTGCTGATGACGTGGAGAGCCCTGGCACACCCTGGAGCCTCCTCCCGCCGTAACTTCTGACATATAACCTTATGACTGTATACATCAACTCCTTCCTCAGCCCCTCCCCCAAGATGGTCCGCGAAAGGTGCTGGGAGAACGCGTCCATGATCTCCTCCTGCCCCTTTGAGGTCCCCTGGAACAACCTTGAAACGTCTTTGATCGGGAAGGATCCATCCCCACGGGCCCGCGGGATAAATATCAAGGCCCAGCAAGGTGGCGATGGTGGCTGGGAAAAGGGAAACTACTTTGCTCCACCCGGTCGCCCGCGAGCCTCTCAACGGTGGGGGTCCACCGCTTCCTGATGGCAGCATGCAACACTGAGTCCTGGTTGACCATCGCGAACCAGAATGAAAAAATCTGCGTCGGCAAATAGTGAGCAGGATCCTCCTGCTCTTCTCCTTTTGGTGAGAGAGCGAAGCCTGTGGTGGTACAACCATACCCGCAATCGTAGGTCGTCGACCTACGTCCTGAACTTCACATGCCGGAAGCGCCTATGCATCTCGCCAAATATGTCGTGCAAGAAGGCGCGGGCAAACGAGGTAGATTGAGAGCATCCTTGCAGCATACTTTCTGTCGGGCAGATAGCGCTGGAGCGTCCAAGCGAGGAGTTGAGC